GGGTGACTTGGTGATGGGATACCAGCCTCTGTGCAGTTATTTCAGGAGCGCAAGAGTGGGATGTAGACCTGTTCTCTCTCTTGTAGCTTCACCTGGGACGTTTTCACCCCAGGTCCGGTTCCTCTGACTCGGACTATGACACGGGTGGCATTACTGGACCATAGCCCGTCTCTTACGCCCGGAGCATATCGGGAGAGTTTCCTCCTTTGCTTCCGGTGGTAACAATAACGAGACTACATCCATCTCGGACTCTGAGGCTTCCTTGATGCTAGATGGAGGGTGTGAACCCATGGTTTCTGACAGGCCTTCTGGCTGTTCTGAAGGGCCGGGTATGTTTTACTTCTGTCCCGTTTGCGAGGTGCCAGCTTTCAGGTGATCCCCACGTTTGTTTAGGACCACCTCACCTACGCGAACTTTCTATGTCATGGGACCTGACCCCACATCGACTTCACCTCATACCCATGCCGGACCACTTCTGTGGTTCCAGCACCAGACTTCGTGCCTGAAGTAAACTGTCTCTCACTTAGAGGAGGCATGTGGCCGGCATTAGCATTCCTGCTGCCTTTTCATATTCTTATGTAATGTTAAACAGGAGCTTGGAAATGTTAGCTTTGGCCCAAGGACTCATATTCTTCTCAGTAGGAAGGTCCATCTTTGTTGTAATCTTCCAACAATTGCTGAAGACATGGACTGATCAGATCGGCAATCTCAACACAACCTGGGAAAAAAAACTTATGATCTCTGCTTTATATTGCTGCACATAGAGCATGCATTTACTAGCTAAACTATCAGAGGTGATAGAGACGAATGCTTTTTCTGCAGGGCGAGAATTCTTGCTTTTGATCATCTATCCCACTACATAACAACCCGACCCGAAACGTCAACTTTCCTGCTCCTCTGATGCTGCCTGGCCTGGGCCTGCTGTGGTCCTCCAGCTCCATACTGTGTTGTCTCTACTTTAGGGATTTACTTCAATCCAGATTTGCATGCACTGCTGTGCTGGGGGGACTGAATGGTTAAGGTGGGCTATTTTGTACTGAATTGGCTGTAAGCTTCTTGAGTGGTGTTGGTGCTGTCTACTGCCTTGGGTAGAAAAATTTTGGGGAGTAACTCGCCCCAGACTTCCCAACCCCCAATGTGACTT